AAAAGAAAGTTGATCTAAAGTTGATCGTGCGAAAGTTGATCGTGCGAAAAGTCAGTTGTTAAAACAACGATAGTTGAATAACATTTGGCAGCTTTAAATTTAGTAATTGTAGGAAAGAATATAATATGAAAAAAGTTATTTCGATAGTTGAATAACATTTGGCAGCTTTAAATTTAGTAATTGTAGGAAAAAATATAATATGAAAAAAGTTATTTCAAACTTGCTAAGTGGTCTTTTTTAAGTCAAAGTTTTAGAACATCAATAAAAAATATAAAACTATTTATAATTACCAGTTATTTATTTATTTATCATTTATTTGCCATTAAAAAAAAGAATGCAATGCCGTGTTATATAAATAAAATCTACATGACCGGGGCTAAAAGATCACAATATTTGCTTTATCACTACACTCCTTTGTTTTTAAAACCTTTGTGTTTGTTAAAGCAAATCACTAAGTAGCTGGATGAATTCTTTGCACTCTGAAACTGTTTAAAAAATCACAATTAATCCTGGAACTGCATTCACCTCGATTGACAACGAAAGTAATTAAATTATTATGTTAATTAGATTGCTCATGCTCACGGATTGCCTTATAAGCAACTTTCCAATTACAAAACCCGTTTTCGCTCGTTAAATAACTCATAGTTTCCCAAAAAAAAAATGCAATGTTAATGCATTTGACTCAATGTTAATGCATTTGACTCTACAACTCTTAACAGATTATACTAGCCAATTGAATATAATCGTTAAAAAAAACAAAAGTAACAAATCTAGAGGATTCATGTACAATAATCCATCGCCTTTTGTTAACCATGTTATTAATTGATCACTTCAGACTTCTACTTGATCACTTATTTTTTGTATTCTGAATGTTCGGATGATTTTCATTAACATTTTCACTTATTTGATTAAATAATTATTTAAATCACTTTTATTTAAAAAAAAATAATAATAATAGTTTTAAAGAGAAGGATTTTTTTTTTTTTTTTTTTTTTATGTGCTGCTTGGTTTTTACTTTTGTTTTTTTTAACGATACAATAAATAAGTTTAGTCCTTTATTTATTTTAATGTTGATAGAAAGTTTTTACATAAGTTATACAAGCTTATTGCAAAAGTTTCGCATTGTGTAAACAATGCTGCAGACAAATTTTCTTTTTCTGACCAGTATACACAAAAATTTCTTCTGTTTTTTTTTTTTTTAAATAGATTAAAGGTTTAAAAGTTGAATATAAAAAATTAATTTAAAAAGTTTTAAAAATAAAAAAAAACTTTTTTTTATTTTTTATAAATCATCGAAAAAGAGGTTGTTTAACTAATTAAAAAAAAATGATTTCTTGCTGGCTGGTCTCTCCAAACGCCTTGGCCCCACAGCGGCAGCCTAGGCTGGACATCGGTAAAGACGGGGCTGTTGTATTGGAGCATGTGACCTCTGGTGATTAAATTTTTAAATAATAGTGGATTAACAAGTTCAACTTTTACTATTTCTTTAAACATTTTGTACACCTGTATTATGTCTCTGCTGGATCTATTCTGCTCCAGGATTGTTAAATTAAGTTTGACAAAGCAATCTTTTATGAATAACGTCTGTTACTTATAAAATCTTTTAAACATTCTAACACTCCGTTTACACCATACGCCTTCAATTTTAAATTAATTGTCTATCAGGTAACGTGCCAAACGCCTCAGGAAAATCAAAATCAAAAAGATCAACTGGTCGTTTATTTGCTAAAGAGTACGAAACGAAGTCTAGTATGTCAAGGACATTTGTTGTATTTGATTTTGATTTTACAAACCCGTGCTGTTTTGATAATATTAAATTATTGCTATAAAATGGTTTCTCTAAAAACGCTTTTACAATACTTTCTAAAATTTTACACGCAATTGAGGTAAGGAAAACTGGTCAGTAATTTAATGCTAAGAGCTTGTTGTCTTTCTTAAATAATCGTATTACATCCATGGATCGAAATTGTAAAGACAGTGTGCCAGAATGTATAGATGCTTTAAAAATTAAAGTTAGTGGAAGTTCCAGTGAATTTGAATTGTACTTTAAAAGTTTTGGATGAACAAGATTAGGTCTTATTGATTTATCACATTTTATGTTCTATAATTTAACTTAATACTTTTAACTGTGGTTATAGAAAGATAAAAATCATTTATAAGTTATAATTTTTATATTTTATTTTCAAAGTTGAAAATGAAAACTGTTTTATAAGTTGTTCGTTTCCGTTTAAGAAATCCAATTTATATATTATGGGAGTTCATTCCTCGCTTAGTTTATTAAAATTCGAAAAGCAATTTTTTAAAGAAACCCTCCATTTATTATGACTGGAAAATAAATTCTACTCCCTTTATCAAGAAAACTCCAGTTTAAAAAAAATTTCCCACCTTCACATATATAAAGACCACGTTTAATAGACTAAAAATCCTTTCCCCCCCCCCTCCTTTTAATTTCCACCTCACCTTGCACCTTGTACTAAACACCTGTGAGTATTTTTGTTATTTAGATTCAGATTGCAATGTAAATTTTAAAAGAACGATACCTAAATGTTTTTCCTTATATAAATGGTCACAGTGTAATATACTCAGGTTGCTATTGTGTCAATGTATGAGAAAGAAATTAAAAGAGTTAATAGCAGATGAATTCCCTAAGTACCAATTTAATTTTGAACTGAAAACAGGCGAATTTTAATTAAAATTTGGATTACGAAGTTTACTGAAAGCTAAAGTTGACTTTGGCTTCAGCTTTGGTGTCAAATTTGAAATAGAAATTCAGCTTTTAGTTATGTTCAATAACAATTACTAAAATCTATTTAACTTTCAGAAAAATTTGAAAATTATTAATTTTTTTCAATTAAAAAAGATAAATAGTTAGAAAATGTATAACATGTTTCATGGATATTAACTTGTTTCTTCGCGTAGCGGAATTTTTTGTCAAGGGTTATGTTTCGGTATTGAAGATTTAAAAAAGAGTTGTAACCACTACAAAAAAACAAATAGTCTCTATGACTAAAGTGGACCTCTCGGCCTCAGGAGCGTCATAAAAAACGAAAAAAAAAACATATTAGAAATAGTCTTATAGAGTCAATAAACGAAAAGTCTTCTTTAAACGCAAAGTTATTAAATCTTATTTAAAAAAACTGGACTGAAATAAAGTAGACTAAGCTTTTTATGTTTTCATCATTCTCACTAAGGATTTTTTCAACTTCTTAACTCGTAATAACTTGTCTTCTTTTAGATAAATTATCATGCGCTGCTCTCTGCAGTTCCAGACGTTCAGTACTTTTTTTCTCTTTGGTTTAAAATATCTCGATCAAGCATGTGACAAGCCTTATGAATAGAATTATAATTACTTTTAATAAATTTTTATGAAAATGTTGATTTTTAAGTTGTTAAAATGACTTGAGCCACCCCTAAAAATGTTTCTTTCAGCTCAGTTTTTTTTACCTTTAATACTTTACTTAATGAAAAATAACATACTAAAAGTTCTTGAATGAATTTTGAAAAACTGACAGTAAAATCTTAAAAAATAGGCGCGAAAACAACAATTTACTTAAATTAGGTAAATGTGCTATTCCTAAATAATATTTGATTGTCTCAAAATTTTACAATATTTATTTTTTAATTATTATCCACCTTACATAAAAAGTTCAACTCCAAATAAAAAATGCGGAAACGGGACACCCTAGGCATGGCTATTACAATAATGGATTTGACGCACCCAACTGAATCAGAATATAAAGATCTATAGACAAAATAACACTTCCTTCTCTGACTAAATATATCTGGAATGTGTTGAAACCCTTACGTTTAAACATGGTAATTTATTGGTTTTTAAACTGCTTTTAATGGTTTTTTTTGAAAGTTTCAGTTCAATAAAGATTTATCCTGTTTAGTTTATTCAGTAATCGATCATAAAATTACAACAAAAAATTAAAGCCAAAAATAAAATGATCGATGAAGAGGGGCACCATCAGGCTCCTCTGTTCTGACAGTCTTGTGCTGCATACAAAGCAGCTTTAGTTAGATAAAAAAGTTTTTTGTAAGCAGTTGACACTTTGTGCATCAATAGTCTTTTGCGGGAGAGCGTTCCAGTGACGTACAATTCGATTTGTAAAAAAATGTTCTATATCAATACAATTATTTACCCTTAGTTTATTAAGGCACTCACTGTGACTTTGAAGATTGTAACTCAGTCTAGCTAAGTGTTGCGTCTGTGGCACATGAAAAAAGATCTTGTCAATGTTAAGAGTGATTTTGAATTGATGAATTCGGTCGCCCTGTGTTAAGTACAGTTCATTGAGATAGTAAGAAGATTTTCAAGGATATATTTATATTTAAAAAAATTCAATATCTATTTTGCAACTAATTATAATAATTAAAATACTGCATCATTTTGTTTGCTTGAAATTTTATTTGAGACATGTGTATGTTTTGATCGAGGGGAAATTTTTCTGCATTCCATATAGATATTTGCAACTATTACTGTGCTAATATTTAGATATCTTGGGTGCTCAAAAGATACAGTCATATAAAGTAAAAAACCATCTTAAAACGTTTTACTATTTTAAACGAAGTTAAAAACAAAATAAAAAAAATGCCATTTTTAACTTGTTTTAAACGGTTTCTATGTCAACCTGCCAGAAAGAGTGACATAAAAACCTGAAGTAAAAATAATTTCAACAAAAACTTTCAATAAAAAGCCGTGCCAGAGATTCACTCTAGTCAGCTGAGTGGGTACAAACAATCATACAGCCTTAAAATGCTTTTATACTTGAAAAAACTATTGTTGATTCAACATACAAAAGAAGCCGAATAAATTTGTTTAGTACGTAATATTAAACAAATTGTCGTACAACATTATATATCAAACTCAAGAAACATTAAAAACTTAAAATTAAACATTAGATTAAAAGATTATTTTACAGAAACGATTTGATTCTTTAATTTACTAAAATAAACGATAAATTTAAACTTCAGTAACAGAAACGTTAAAAAACTTACAAAAAGCCTAGAAAAACTTGTTTATATACCCTAACTAGTAAAAAAAAAAACTAAACATTTAAAAAAAGATACAAACACAAAAATATACAAGGTTAAATATCATGTCATATATACTATTAAAAAACACACAGTGTTAATACTCTTTTAATGAGCAGAGCGCCTCAAGATTTTATTGTACCAAATCACAGCTCAAAATAAATCAGAGCCAAGCAAACTTCAGCCAATGTATAACCAAAGTATCAAACTCGTCTTTAAAAAAACTATGCAAAATATTTTGAAAACATATATTGCAAATAGTAACCGCCAGATAAATAACAATCTGAGCAAAAAATAATTATAATGACCATCTATTTATTCATCTGATGAATATCGAAATGTGTGTACTCTCCATGCGAAGATGTGGAATGATCGTGGTAATGAGACTGTCTATTTATATCAGAAAAATGTGTTGGTTTAGATAAGTCTTGCACCAAAGGCGAATGATTAGGTGAAATTACAGGGTGATAACTATGAGGAGAAACAACAGGATGAAAGTTTTGTTGTTGATGTTGATGCCTGTTTTCATAATATGCTTGAGGTGAAGGACTATCAAAATTAAAAACAGTATAATTATTTAATTGGTTTTGTCTTGATTGCTGCCCAATATGATAACGAACCTGATTAGATTGTTGACGAGGCGAGTATAAAACTGTCTGTGAACGTTGGTTGCCTCCTGTAAATTGGGAATGAAGCTTAGGTGACAATTGCGTTTTTGCGTATAGAGAAATGTTAGCAGAAGAGTGTTTAGGGGAAGGTGTATCAACATAAAAATTCTCTTGCGTTATACGCTTTTGATGTAAATCGTAAGGAATATCATCTGAACACGGAGATTGACTAGAACTAGACATGTGGATTGAATGTATATTGCCGTATGTAGAGTTTCGCAACTGTTGAGCCATGTTTGAATGGTGGGGTATGCGTTCACTATTCATATCAGAGTGACGTTGCTGATGCGTTTCAAAACGCTCATAGTTATCTAGTGAAATTGTTGTTGGTATAGGAGAGAAATTTCTATTATGCTGAACAGATGTGTATTGAAGACGCTTTGAATAAATAGGCGTCAAAATTTGAGATGCTTTATCTTTCGACATATTCCTCTCAATACGAGATTTACTCGTTTCCGGAATGTATAAAATTTCACTTGCATTATTTTGATAAGATGATTGTTTTACACCCAAGTGATTATTAGTTAACACTTCTTCATTTAAACTTTCTGAAACGAGATAAACTTCATTTGCGCTTGATTTAGAAGTAGTATCAGTTTGTGCTTCTACACTTTCATCTGATTCAATGTTTGACTCCAGATGGTTTGGTTCCAAATATCTGCTTAATGTTGAAGAACTTTGTTTTTGATTAAACTTTTCCGAAATGTCACTTTTAACTTGTTCTATACTATCTGTATTGTCTGGTTTTTTGTGAGAAATTTCTTCATCGACATTAATAGTTTTATTAGAAGATAAGTCTTCACAAAAGTTAAACTTAGAAGGAGAACTACGCTCACTTTTTGAACTATTACAAAGCGCTTTCGTTGGACTCGAACTAGATAAAGGTTGCTTATTCAGTTCGAGTGATCCGAATTGATCTGCTTTTCGTTTTAGTTCTGATATTGAAACAGAGGAAACAAGCAATTCGCCATGCGGACATCTGTTTTCCTCCTTTTTTATGGAATCAACTTTAGGCGAATGAACATTTTTCAGAATACATTCTAATTCATCCGCAGAGCGATGCAAAAATGAAGCCGACTGTCTGTATCCATCGATTAACGCTTTGATTGAAATTATTTCAGCATGTGTTAATTCAATATTTGAAGATGATGATACAAAGGGTGGCGACATTGCGTCTAAAAAAATTCTATAAACAGTTTTAAAAACATTAAACCGAAAATAATAAACTGAAGAAAAATATGCAAACATCAGTTTCTAAAATATACTTTACCTTTTTTATCATATACGTTACTAAAAAATCCATTTTTTTGACCATCTTTTTCTACATCTAATCTTTGACGCTTAGCTGCTTCATGGCTTTCATTTTGACAAGCTTGAGCTAAGATATGCTGAAAAAAAAAATTATTTAGTTTATTAGATTTTTTAATAGATTATTTATAATAAAAAATGAACAAAAAAAAAATGAATAATCAGAGAACCATATTATTAGCAGAAAAAGAAGAAAATAATAACAGAAAGGTAAAAAAAAATAAGAACTACAGCTTAGACATCTACAGCATTTTTTTTATCTTCAAGTCTTATTCTAATAGAATCTATTCTTATCTATTTAAATCTATTCCATGTAAATTTAAATTTAGAAAGAAGTTTCCACATTGCTCAGCAAACTTACTGTAAACTATGTAGAAGCCTTTTCCCCATTTGAGACACATTTGTGACACCTTAACATTTGAGACACCTTAACATTTGTGACACCTTAACATTTGTGAAACCTTAACATTTAAGACACCATAGCATTTGTGACACCTTAACATTTGTGAAACCTTAACATTTGAGACACCTTAGCATTTGTGACACCTTAACATTTGTGACACCTTAACATTTGTGACACCTTAACATTTGTGACACCTTAACATTTATGACACCTTAACATTTGTGACACCTTAGCATTTTTTTCTCATATTTTTATAGAACAAATACCTTTAAATGAAAATTTTGTAACTTGCATCTATAATGCTTAAATGAACTTAGACTTTCCAGTTCTTCCCATTTGCTTATCATTTTGCATGTCAGTTATGATTCTTAGACTCTTTGTTTGACTTTTAAAAAGCACTTCTCTATTGTTATAAAATAAATACTCTCTAATAAAAAAAGGTTTCATTTAAGGGAAATGACATAAAACCTGGCAGTCTCTTTCTCCCACAGCGTTCTGCAATGAACCAATCTTTCAATTTAATTGAAGATAAAACTACTAATTCAGAGCACAACAAACTTTTTTTTTATTCATTGATAAACATTCTATTCAAATATTGTTCATTTGTAAGAATAGACACCTCTAGATAGGAAAATATTAAAGGAGTTCATATGGGCTATAAAACAAAAAAACATTTTACTACAATCTTCATATATTTACATGAAAAAACAAAAATATTAGGTTGTCAGTGTTATTTCCATTAATATTTTTTAATTTTTGTTGTTTGTTTTAATTCCATTATTTTGATCAGCAGTTCTGCCCCCACCCCCTCCTTCAATCTCCCTGGATTTTTTTTATACTTAAAATGAATTAATAATAAATAATTATTAAAATATAATTTAAAAACATAAATTTTTTTTCAGTTTAAGTTAGTAAAACAATTTATTTTCAAATTGATGAATGCTTACCTCTTATTATATCAAAAACAAGCAAAAGTTTTAATTTGTTCTTTTTAAAGGTTGTATTTTTTATTTTCTAAGGAATGATCGAGAACTTTATTGTTTTTGTATTTTTTTGGCAGGTAACATAAGTAATAAACATATTTAATATGGAGAAATGTGACATTAGAAATAGTCTAAACATTAATTGCCACAAAACTGGATTTTCTAAAAAGCAAGGTTTTGTTCAATTTAAAGACCTTCCTTTAAATTTAACACAAATTTAAAGAAAAAATATTGTTCAATAAGAATTACATGTTTTATCATGAGTTCTATGGAAAATGTTTTAAAAAAAAAACTACAAAGTATTGCAATCCTTTTGGAACACACAAGGAAAGTTAAAAAATTGCGTATAAAAGGAATAAAATCTAACATTAATTACAACAGAATTGATATGGAAATTAAAAGAAAAACAATTTATTATTTATAAAAAAGTTTATATTTCCACTTTTCTTCACAATTTTAAAAACTTAAAACTAAATTTGCTTATTAAGTAATATAAAGATTTCCCTACACTTGGCAAAATTTTTGCAAGATAATAATGTTTATGTAACAGGTTGGAAATTCTGCAGTAAATGTAACAAAAAAGCAGTAGAAACAGATGGAGATTTAAATTCAAAAGAGAAATGGGAATCAAAAAGTTAGAAAAAAAAGTCTTTCAAAACACAGCAAATTGCCTGCAGTAAAACAAAAGTTTGAGAACACTATTGACAGAGTTGCAAAAATGGTCTTACTAGCATACAACATTAAAGAAACTTCTTAAACAACAGAAATAAAAAGCCCCATTTCAAACATCAACATTAACAATGACCGCGATCTAGACATTTTAATGTATGAAATAAAAAATATTTCAGAGACTGACTCTTATTGCTATAAGGTGCAAATGCCATAAGGATTTATTTACAAGACTCAAGAAGATATAACTAGGTATATCAAAAAAATCTACTTGGTGTATCAAATGTGAAATATATTTATTTTATTTATATTTATTTATATTTAATAATATTTTCCGATGGTTGAGCAGCAAAATTAAAACTTTATTATCCATCATTCAGTCATCACAGTAAAAACTTTGATTTAAATGATGAATGGATATTTTTTGCTACAGGTCATGGTGAATCCCCCTATGATGGTATTGGTGGGACTGATAATTGGAATTTGTTTTAAATTATTTTCTAAAGATGAAACCAACCTAACACGAGCACAATTAGAAAAAAGATATTTAGGTGGAAGAACAGGTCCTGGTACAAGTATGTATCATTATTTTATTCTGATTGTTTCAAACACCATAAGTTATAAATAAATAAGTATTGATACATGTATTAAATATTTGATATCATTTTAAAAAGCAAACATAATGAAGAGATTTCATTAAATAATAAAAAAATGAATTATGTTGCATGTTTTTATGACGGATTTTGGTGGGTAGGGATTGCTGAAGATTTATGTGAGCTTGATAGAAAAGTCAGATTCATGCATCCCAATGGACCTGGTAAAAACCTCTTTTAGCAATGAGAAATGACGAGTGTTTGGTGCTTTATTCTGAAGTTATATGCCTAATTTCTACACCCACAACAATATCAGGTCGTATGTCAACATATCTGATTTAGATTTAGAGACTATAAGCAGTTGGTTACAAAAAAAATTAAATACATTTAAAATAATTTTTTTGTAATTTTATTAAGCTATTTTGCATTTAGAAATTGTCTTTTTTTTCTTCCAAGTCCTTAGATGGAAGAGGGTTTAAATAAATCCCACTGTCCACCTTATTATGTCAATGACTATATTAGTCCTGATCTCAGTTTTAAGTGCTTACTTAAAAATATAAGTAATAGAGGTAAGTAATTATCAATTTAAAATAATGACAGTAAATTGTTTCTCAAATTTAAACTAAAAAAAAATTATGTTTTTAACTCATTTTAAGTATAAAAAAAAAATCCAGGGAGATTGGGAGGGGGGGGGGGGGGGAAGGGACAGAGTTGGTCAGAGGTCCCCTCGCCCTCCTGTAACCCATGACTATAAATGTCCTAAACTAGTCCATAAATAACACTCTTTGATGTTTTATTCAAATAAATGTTTTAAAAAACATTTAAGTTGCTTTCGTTACAAAATTTAAATTTTTCTAAAAAAAACACAATTTTTAAACGCAAATTTTGATCAAGTATTAGAGAGACAATTGATGAATCCAGTAGACTTAAGATAAAATAATGAAATGCAATTAAACTTTTTACTCAGGATTTTGGGCCACAGACTTCATTTTACCTCCAAAAATTATGAATTTACAAGTCAACAATTTAGAACAAAATGGAATATATGAGGCATTTCCTGAGACAATTAAGTCTTAAGGGTGCTATTTTTGGATTCCTCAAATAAAAATCTATTGGGGTACCAAATTTTAGGACATTAAACCAAGCCATTATGAAGATACTATATATCAACCTTGCTTTGTAGTCGCTTCAGATAATAATTCTAAAATGCTGAGTCAGCATAGGTTTAACTGATAGAATCTCTGGAATCCATGTGTATTTTTAACTAAAATTTTCACAGTTATTATTTTTTTAATATGGACCGAAATTGAGTTGAAAATGAACTAACTCTGAGACGTAAGGGTGTCGAAAATGTGTTTTTTTTTTGGATGATTTCATATGGATTTACCCTATTGTGAAACCATTTTTTAACCTTTTTGACATAAAGAATATTATAATTCTTCTTAACAAGAAAAATTACATAACTTTGTAGACGTTTCATTCTATTACTTCATATAGACTTGATAACAAAAATTCTTGGAAACAAGTTGAAAGGTTTCAGAATAATGATTTTGATGTTGGGTAAGACTGTGTTTTGTAATATCCATTTGGAAAAAACATGATTAACAAAACATCTATCACACAACTCACCCTCAGAATTAGGGTTGGCATTCAGTAATGCCGACCTATCTGCCGACCTGAAAGTGTTTGAGGTTGGCAAAAATTTGCCAAACTCATTTTTATGTTTTATGGTCAGACGATTGTATCAAATAATTTTTGCAGACCTGATGCTTACCTCAAAAAGATTGAGGTAAGCATCAGGTCTTCATTTTTCCTAATTCCGAGGGTTGCACAAAAAACTTTGTAATTGTAGTTAAAAGTATAACCAATCTATCACCTATGATAGATTTCTGAAAGAATAATACCGAGAAGTGTGACATGTCAGTTATTGACCAAAAGTCTTTTATCAAGAACTTTTCATCCAATCCACGCCAAAAAACTTGATTTGAAAAGAGAATAACAAAAAAGTTATTAACTTATGAATGAATGAATTAAAATTTTAAATGAATTGACCTTGTTATACAAAAAATACGCTATGTAGTAAATCTTTTTAGTCTATATAAAAGAAATATACAAACATTGTTTATTAAATGTTGTAGTTATTGCTAGCTTATGAAATATTATAGTAAACACTTCTCATACAAATAAAGCATGTAAATGAAATTTAGCGGCGAATCGATGTTATTAAAGCTGTCATGTTGTAAAACATAAGATACTTAAAAAAAAAAGTCCTTTACACATAGACAGGATTTTTAGACTGGTATGCCCAAAAAACTTCTAGATACGCTACTGATCATTGCAGTCATAACAACAATAAACTTAATAAAACCATATATATTTGTATCATCTATAAGAATCCAAAAGAAAAATATAGATAAAATTAGACAGAATTT